TGTTCCCTCTAAGCTGTCGAGTCTTGTGAGCAGGAATTCTACTTTGTGAGCTCCTGGCATTAAAATTGTGAGCAAGCCATTTGGCTACTGCATCGATTAGTTTGCTCTGGAGCCCTCCTCCCTGAGCTGAGACAAAAATGTGTGAGCCGGAGGCTAAAAAAACTGTGAGCTGGCTCACACTAACTCAGCTTAGAGGGAACACTGCCGACGACCCACTAGTCGCCCCCTCCCCGGATCGGGTCCTGCCTCTCCCGACCGAATTGCCCCTTCCTCCACTGCCCTGGCCTCTGCGTCTTTCTCCCCCCGGGGGGGGGGCAGGGGGTTTCTGCCGCTCTGACCTGAATGCCACCCAACCAACTCCCCTTTCCCGCTTGGAGGGATGGGGGCTTGACCTTCTTTGAATTCCAAGTTGTTTGCCCCTACCTGAGAGAGGGGCATTTCGCCCCATTGCAGAGAGGGAGGCCTGAGGGGCTGTTTGATCCGGGAGGTAAGGGGTCAATGGGAAAGTTTGTTTGGACCCCGCGGGGTTTCGTAGCTCCCTTCTTCTCCCCCCCACCACCAAATTTCTCTAGAGCAACCTCCCTAACCCCTTCTGTCCCCCTGCGCATCCCTTGAACACAAACCACCTTTTCCCGCTTCTTGACAAACCTCTTTGCACCCCATGGCATCCTCAGCACAATCTTCCTTAAATGTACTGTTTGGCTCCCCTTCCAATATGAGGACATGATCTAGAAGTCAGCCCTCAAACACCTCCCCCCCCCACGCACACACACTGGACCCTGGCCTGAGAGCTCGAGGAAAAAAAAGACTAGTCAGAACTTGAACCCAGACCCCACAGTTCTGACAAACCCCATTCTCAGAAAATCCTGCAGATCCCGTCTCACTGCTCTCAGATCTGGCTTTCCTGCCCAGAACAGATAGCTTCTCTAACGGCTATGGGACCACATTTCTCATAGGTGATTTCTGGTTTTCAGTTGGAGAAACTTACGCTTGTTCCTAACTTCGGAACTGCCGCATTTGCTTCTGGAACTGCACCCTTTTGCACTGCTTTCTCATCGGGTTTTTTTGCCTCTCTCTCTTTTTCTCTCCCCCCTCTGTGCCCCACAGCACTGCGTAACCTGCCCCAATCAAAGGGACCTTGTCGACTGAGGCGCCCTCCTCTCCTTCCGTCCACCCGTCCATTCTCTGTTTACTGGGAAGAAAGAATCCAAGAGACAAGCAAACGGCAGGGAATACGGCAGCATCTTGCAGATTTTTCCAAGAGTAGATCCCGCTCTGGGGCGTGTTAGACGGAGGCCCCTGGACTGGTTTGTCTAGCCTGGGAGGAACCATGGAGACTTCCGTATCTGCTCTACACCCCTCTCATCTCTGCCCACAACTCCTGAATTTGTGACAAATTTCGACAGTGTGGGAGCCTGAATAAATCTGAGCCCTCTTGGTCGGGAGACGCATTTTGTTACGTCCATTGGAAAAAGAACTTGGATATTACTGCACTGGGTGGGGGGAGGCAACCTTCCTGAGGGTTCTTGCCGGGATCGTATTTGGGCACGCCTGGAACTGTATGCCCAGGACAGAATGATGGGTTGCGTGGCTGTACCCCCACCAGGGCTCTGGAACCCACGGCCCCCTAGTCACAGTCAAACAAAGTAACGGTCATCAAAGACCTTCTTTCCAGCAGTTCCCTTTACCCCGAGTCTTTGCTGGGACACTCGGCGGGGCTCGGCCAGGATCGCCTGGTTGATTCGACGTTTCATGACGAGCTCCCTCCTCCGCTGACTCAGCACAATATGGCGGCTGGAGTGGCCACGTGGCTCCCCTTTGCCCGGGCGGCGGCGGTGGGCTGGCTCCCACTGGCCAAGAAGCCCATGCCAAAGCCTCCCGTCGACAAGCAACGCCGTGGCGACGAGATCTTGGTGGTCAACGTCAGCGGGAAACGCTTCCAGACGTGGAAGAATACCCTGGACCGCTACCCGGATACCTTGCTGGGCAGCTCGGAGAAGGAGTTCTTCTACGACGAGGACAGCCAGGAGTACTTCTTCGACCGCGACTCCGAGATGTTCCGTCACATCCTCAATTTCTACCGGACCGGCCGGCTTCATTACCCTCGCCACGAGTGCATCCAGGCCTTTGACGAGGAGCTGTCTTTCTACGGCATCATCCCGGAGCTGATCGGCGACTGCTGCTTGGAGGAATACCGGGACCGCAAAAAGGAGAACGCCGAACGCCTCGCGGAGGACGAAGAAGCGGAGATAGCCACTGACACGGGCTTGCCGCCGGGTAGCACGTTCCGCCAACGGCTCTGGAGAGCGTTCGAGAACCCCCATACCAGCACTATGGCGCTGGTCTTCTATTACGTGACTGGGTTCTTCATAGCCGTGTCGGTCATCGCCAACGTGGTGGAGACCATCCCCTGCCAGCCGCGTCCCGGAGAGAAGAGAAACCTGCCCTGCGGAGAGCGGTTCCCCAAAGCTTTCATCTGCATGGACACGGCGTGTGTCCTCATCTTCACCTTCGAGTATCTCATGCGCCTCTATGCGGCCCCGAGCCGGTTCAAGTTCATGAAGAGTGTGATGAGCATCATCGACGTGGTGGCCATCATGCCCTATTACATCGGGCTGGTGATGCCGGAAAACGAGAACGTCAGCGGGGCCTTTGTGACGTTGAGGGTCTTCCGGGTCTTCCGGATCTTCAAGTTCTCGCGTCACTCGCAAGGGCTGAGGATCCTGGGCTACACCCTCAAGAGCTGTGCCTCGGAACTGGGCTTCCTCCTCTTCTCCCTCACCATGGCCATCATCATCTTCGCCACCGTCATGTTCTATGCGGAGAAGGGGACCCAGGCCACCAACTTCACCAGCATCCCCGCCGCCTTCTGGTACACGATTGTCACCATGACGACGCTCGGGTGAGTCGCTGGCGTTCGTGACACTCTCCCGAGAGGCGTGGCCTCGGCACCGTCACTCGATGCCCTCTGCTGTCTCGAAGGGCCAGGAAGTCCCGATCACATGACCCTTCTTGAGGAGGCGGGATTTCCAGGTTCCCCTTGACCTGACGCAGCAGATTTGATGGGAGGTGGTACGCCGGTGGTCACTGGGCATGATGATGACTCGTGGGGGTCTCCAAGTCCAGGTGCAGTCTCTGAAACCTGGAACTAGGAGGCGACATCAGGGGAAGGCCTTATTGGCCCTCCAGGACAAGCTGGCTCTGTGTGTGTGTGTGTGTGTGTGTGTGTGTGTGTGTAAAAGTGCAGTCAAGTTGCAATCAGCTTACGGTGACCCCAGCAAGGGGCTTTCAAGGCAGAGATGGTTTGCCATGGCTCGGAGGTCTCCCTTCCAAGTACCAACCCTGCTTAGCTTCTGAGATCAGACGAGATCGGGCTGTGCCCCGCTGCCTTCCCCCCCAAAAAAACGGGTTGGCCACTGTATAAAACAGGATGCTGTATAAAATGGACCACTGGTCTGATCCAGCGGGGCACCTCTGGTGTTCTCGTCGTTAAGGAGGGGAGAGAAGATGCCCACCTTTGCGTCTGGATTGTGTGCTTTTTTTTTGTGACGCTGTCTTGAAGAGAGAAGTGGAACGGGTGCTGCGGCCCTTGGGGGAAGGCGAGTGGGTGCCTGCCCACCCCTTGGAGTGGGATGGAGAAGGTTGGTTTCGGGTGGGCAGAAGTTGCAAGCAGAAACGGGGTGTGTGTGTGTCAGTTCTTAGGAAAGGGGTGTGGGCGTTGACCTGTAGACCATTTCCCCAGGGAAGTGAAGGTCTTCTATGAATCGAATACGGATGGAGATTTTATTTCCTTGTCCCCCAACACGTTTCCTTTAGCTGCACTTGCTTGCGTCTTATTTTTTTTAAAAAAATCTACAATCACAAGTATTTGCTGCGTTCTTTTAGAACAGTGATGTCCCCTGTCCTAAATTCCCTGTGGTATCCTGAACTCTGATGTTCAAAGCTGAAGATCTGGGGTTATGTTTCTCTCCTGGTGTGTATGTGTGTCTGCCTGACCCCCCAAAATTGATATTGGAATCCTGGTGTTTCTACAACGTTGGTTCTTGAGGGATCTGCTTTCTTGGGCCAGTTGACTTGGGTGTGTGTGTGTGTTGGCCTGGCCTGGGTTAGACGTCTTCCCTGACCTCAGAGCTGGAGCCGGAAACCGGGTGTCTCATCAGATGTCCACCGCATGTTTCCATTTCAGTTCATTTCGAAGCTCTTTCAGGGCTCCCCAGAGAATCTACTCTCCTGAGAGCTTACACTCAGATTCTGTAAAATGATTAATGATGTAGCACGCTAGAGACCATGGCACATTAGAGAGCCGGTTTGGTGTAGTGGAGAAGAAGAAGAAGAAGAAAGAAGAAGAGGAGGAGGAGGAGGAGGAGATTGGATTTATACCCTGCCCTTCACTTGGAGTCTCAGAGCGGCTTACAAACTCCTTTCCCTTCCCCTCCCCACAACAGACACCCTGTGAGGCAGGTGGGGCTGAGAGAGCTCTTTTGGTTCCCGACGCCGCCACTCGCAGCCAGCTGGGTGACCTTGGGGCAGTCACAGTTCTCTCAGAGCTCAAGACCAGTTCTCCCAGAGCTCTCTCAGCCCCACCTACCTCACAGGGGATCTGTTGTGGGGAGAGGAAGGGAAGGAGATTGTAAACTGCTCTGAGACTTCAAGTGAAGGGTGGGGTATACATCCAACTCCTCCTCCTCCTCTTCTTCTTCCCCAGAAGGTCAGACCAGAACCAATGGGTTGAAATTAAATCAAAAGAGTTTTCGGCTAAACATGAAGGAGAACTTCCTGATGGTTAGAGCAGTTCCTCAGGGGAACCGGCTTCCTCTGGAGGTGGCGGGCTCTCCTTCTTGGGAGGATTTTAAGCAGAGGCCAGATGGCCATCTGACAGCAATGTGTATTCTGTGAGCTTGGGCAGATCGTGAGAGGGAGGGCAGGAAGGGTTGCTTCAGTGCTTAGTTCCTGTGACCCTTCCTTACACACCCACTTTGGCTGATTGCCACTTTGGGGTCAGGAAGCAATTGTTCACTAGGCCACTTTGGCCAAGGATCCTGGAGCGGTCCCCCCCCCTCTTCTGGGCATAGCGCAGGGGTCACTGGGGGTGTTGTGGGGAGGCATCTGTGAATTTCCTGCCTTGTGCAGGGGGTTGGACTCGATGTCCCTGGAGGTCCCTTCGAACTCTATGATTCCTCCTCCTCCAAAGAAATGACAGGTCCCTGTCCCCAAAGAGGTTACAATCTAAGTTCAGACAATTTGGGGGGAAGCCGCAAGGAAAGGGGGAGCAAAAGGGTGAAGACGAGAACACGCTCAGTGCAAGGGATGGTCCGGGAACAGGGGCGGTCTTCGGCAGAGGGCATGCTCGGTGGTGGTGGTGGAAGATGCGAGCGACCCCGTGGGGCTTTCGAGGCAAGAGACGTCCAGAGGTGCTTTGCCGTTGCCTGCCTCTGCGTCGTGCCCCGGCATTCCGTCTCCCATCCAAATACCAGCCGGGCCCGACCCTGCTCCGCTTCCGAGATTTGACGAGATCGGGCCAGCCTGGGCTATCCAAGTCACGACATGCTCGGGAGAGGCCCAAATGTCCATGTCCCCCTAGAGAGGGGAACAAAAGAAGAGCAGGCCCTCCTGCAGCTGGTGGTACCTGCCCCATCTGGAGCTCGGGGTGGGGGGCTGGCTCCAGCTGAGCTTACCTGGGGTGATGGCCACTCCTCGCTCGGCCCCTGACCCAGCGCCAGCAGTGGGGTGGGAGTGGTTCTGGGATCTGATTCTGGACTTTTGCTCAGAGCCGGGAATCGCCGAGACCACCCTTCCTGAAAATAGGTTGCCAAGCTTGGTGTAGTGCCAGTTTGGTGTCGTGGTTAAGTGCGCGGACTCTAATCTGGGAGAACCGGGTTTGATTCCCCACTCCTCCACTCGCACCTGGCTGGATGACCTTGGGCAAGCCGTAGTTCTGATAAGAGCTGCCCTTGAAAAAAAAGAGCAGTTTCTGTCAAGAGCTCTCTCGGCCCCACCTACCTCACAGGGTGTCTGTTGTGGGGAGGGGAAGGGAAAGGAGTTTGTAAACCGCTCTGAGACACCTTTGGGTGGTGAAGGGCGGGGTATAAATCCAATCTCTTCTTCTTCTTCAAGCTGAACTTATGAAATAGCAGGGGGAGTCCTGGTCCTCCCAAGATGACGCCACCCGGACGTGACATCATCGCATCAGGCACGTTGGGGGCGGGGCCACAATCATTTGAGGTAAAACCATAGAGTTTTCCATTGAATGATAGAGCGTCCCCCAGTAACGTGCCTGATGTGATGACGTCACCCCCGGGTGGCACCTTCACGCCGCGCACATCGCACACTTTGGGGGTGGGGTTCCCCCTGGCGGCCCGATCCAGGCCAGCCGGGAACTGGCTTCTGGAGCAGGGGGCCTGGCAACCCTACCTGAATATCCCAGGCGGAGCTGTATGCAGCCTGTTTTCGTAGGGCCCGTCGGACGCTTTGGGTTGAACAGCCCCAGGATTCTCCATGAAAGGCCTTTCATGCATGAGTGCAGAGGCCTGTCCTGTCGCAGCCGACTTGTGGCGACCCCAGCAAGGGGCTTTCGGGGCGGGCAAGAAGCAGAGGTGGTTTGCCACGGCCTTCCTCTGCAGAGTCTTCCTTGGTGGTCTCCCTTCCAAGTACTGACCCTGCTTAGCTTCCAACCACCCTAGCAAGGGGTTTTCAAGGCAAGTGAGAAGCAGAGGTGGTTTGCCATGGCCTTCCTCTGCAGAGCTTTCCTGGGTGGTCTCCCTTCCTAGTGCCGACCCTAAGACTCCAGCTTACAGCAACTCCAGCAAGGGGCTTTCAAGG